ATATTATGCTTTTAATACATTTTGAATATGTGACACAGGGAGAGAAGAGCAATTCAATTTACTGAAACAAAGACAGGCCAGAGAGTCTGAGAGGAGAAAAAAGGGAGGCAGCGTGCGAAAATGTTACACTGACCGTGACCGAAGACGAGGACCGAAATGATAAAGAGGATCAGCGAGTGCCATGCCCCATCGAGGAGACAGAACAGGAAGACCTGAAAAGAGGACACAGAGGATGAAATCTCAGTTGGCGGAAAAATTTTCTTCTAGGTTCGCCTAAATATCTATTCTCCTCGCCTAACCGCCTTGATGGTTAAACCTTTAATTCTTGTTTAAAGAGTGTTAACTAATATTTTTGATTCTGTTGAAAGTGACAAAGAATAGTAAATTAAAGCCACTTATAGTTGTTGTAATGAGCTAAATAGAATCAACTGCATCAGCATAAACTCCTGTACTCAGGCACCTGATGCCTATTAATGTGAATTTGAGCTTATATTGGCGGAATTTAACGAAAAAATGGAAATTCGACGTTATATCGGCGGAATTTAACGAAAAAGGGGACAGTCGGACTACTGAAAATATAAAAGTCTTTTAGTATTATAAATCAACAGCAAATAGGACCTCTAAACACAGTCCTGCCAATTTGGCAGATCCAAAACACGATAAGGAGAAGGGGCTAGAGCCGGAAACAGCCATTGGTGAAACTTACTCGAAGGTTAAAGGAATGCCTTCTGTGCGCGCGGTAGTAGACGGCCGGGGATGACAAGCATTCCTCTTCGGGGTAAATCTGGTCAAATATCCCCATCGCGAGGGGTGGCGCAGCCGTGAAAGCCTACAATGGGGTGTATAATCGTCGATTTTTTATGCGCTTATAGAGTTATAAATAACGATCGAAAGTTACTGAAGCGTTTATTGAATAAAATACATGTTAGAGCACTCTAATCGTTCGCAGATACTATTGCTGGTAAAGACTAGGGAGACTGGAATGGCCATTTCTGGCTCATTAGTCGTCGTTAGCCTGTCATACCTAGGCTCAAGTAGTGTCCCACCCGAGCCTCAAACTCGCAACCTTTTTGAGCAACTTCAAACGCTCCAATCATTGAGCCACGTCGTCGCTGTCATGTCGGTTTAGGTTAGAGGATGAGAATGCGTGCATGGGATGCAGAAAGGAGGGCGGACTACGGCAATCAAAGAAGAGGATCTGTGTTCCATATCACCCCTAAATACACCACATTGAGTAAAGTAACGAAGAACCCCATGTCAAGACATTCAAGGATACCAAGCAGGATTTTAGTCAAAAAATAAATAAGCGCACTATAAATGTACAACCTGATATTTGCCTCAAAATATGTAGTACGCCGAAACTGCAAATCCTGATTTGACAACAGCCACTTTAAAACGAAATTCAATTGGCCAACATAACAATTACGGAAGAATCAGCCTAACCGCAAATGGTTGCAGTTTTGCAAAGTTTTAGATTCCTCGAGATGTTTGAAGTTATGCTTTATGCTTTGACAAACTGTGTGTTTGGCAACCCAGGAGTCAGGCGATAAATAGCAAAGTATCCACGCGGAACAGGTTGCGGCTTTTAAATAAGTACATGTGCTATCTCATTAAATAATAACCGAAAATCTGAAATGTACTATTTTTTATAAAATAAACCAGTTAAGTAAATTTGTATAAAGAGGTATCCTACAAAAAAATTCCGATATATGTCAGTAACGCCATGATGTCGTTTGTTGAACAAACTACCTTCCAGCTGCCTTGCGATACTACAGTTTGTAAAAGATAAACAATTAAATAGTATGCATTTTAATTGCTTTTCAGTGCCATTTTGCAGTGAGATATACAGTACACGCCAAAGAACACGCAACGATTCGACATATGTGAAAGATTGATACTCCTTCGCTAATCAGCATTAACTCAAGTTGCGATACTAATTATCCTGTAGTATATTCTGAAGTCATTTTAGTCATGATAGGGTGCGGGCTTTTTAACGAGCTTCGTTCTCACCACTAACGAAACGTATCTATTTTAACAACTGGCTACTTAAGTAGCATGTTTATCATTGATTTTGACTGCCTTTATAAATTCAAATATATTTTATGGAAAGCGATCTTTGATTTTGACTGCCTTTATAAATTCAAATATATTTTATGGAAAACATGCACATGATTTTGACTGCCTTTATAAATTCAAATATATTTTATAGAAAACATGCACGGTGACTGCCTTTATAAATTCAAATATATTTTATGGAAAACATGCACGAAAAAATCATCTCTTGTACTTGTTTGATAGGAAATTACGCCTTCTTTAAAATTCATACTCAAAGAAGGGGTAGCTTTCGGTGTTAAAAAGTTGCTCAATAGCCGAATAATTTGTCAACCTAGTGATTGCTACACTCGAATTCAAGGTTTAAACACTGCGCACTGTGTACATCCTGCTTAAGGAAAAGTACGTTTTCGCCTACTGTTTGAGTAAGAAGTCACACAGTTGTCATTAAATACTGAAATAGATGTGGAACATATTTTATGCAGTATAGGCAGCATTAATAAATTCGCGGATACGATGTATTATGAATAAACGCCTCACAATTGTGAAAAAACTCATAATTAGCAACCTTTTTAAAACCGAAAGATACCTTTTCTTTAAGCATAGAAGGCGTAGTTTGCTATCAAACAACTACAAGAAATAATTTTTTCGTGCATGCTTTCCATAAAATATACTTCAATTTATAAAAGCGGTCAAAATAAATGGTAAAAAAACATACTACTTAAGTAGCCAGTTTCCACAATAGAAGAAAGGAGGAGAGCGAAGTTCTTGTGCACAACATGTCCTCCCAACAGCTGACACCAA